CCTCCTGATGCCCAGTTTTTTCATTTGCAAAGTAAAACTCCACGCCCCCCACCCTGGCCTCAGACACTGCTGCCAGAGCCAAGCAAGTGAATGAGTGAAAGTGCTCTGAAACGGGGCACGGAGACGACAGGGGCAGCACAGCCAGTGGAAGAGCTTGCATCGGCGTCAGAACCCTGGCCTGCAGTGCCACTGCTCACAAGGTGAGGGCCTTAAACCCACGGAGAGGCCGCCTCTAAATTCCTTCACTGTGAAAAGTGTAACAGGGAAGACGACTAGTCTAAACTTTCACACTAGTGTGGGGTTCAGTGCTGGTCTGAGGACAGCAGTGAGAGTAAGGAGTTGCGGGAGCACGCTGCCTCTGCCAAACCCAGGAGCACCACGTTGTGCCAAGTACTTGCCATCTCCTCTCCGTTCTGTGCCGAGAGCCCTGCTCTACTGGGTGAGGCCTCTTCCTGCTCCAGGTCAATGGCCCAGGTTGGGACAGAAAACGGGGATACCAACCACGTGGACCAAGACAACTTATTCTGCCAATGCCAGAACAAGACACGAGCCCCACTGGGTCCACATGGCCAGGACCTTGGGGCACTGTCAGATCTGGAAGTCCACTTGCATTTGGGACACCCCTTGGGCTGAAAATCTTGCTCTGGGGGGCTCTGCAGTGCAGTGAGGAGCAGCAGAGGGGCACGGGTCCCAGGCATCCACAGACCTCACTCAGCTTCTGGTTTGGCTGCGCACCTAGTTCTACAACAGGTGTTCCCTGAGACCCATCGCTGTGCCAGACACTGGGGAAACTGGGTGAGACAGTGAAACAAGGCCCTTCCCTCCAGGGACTCTGTCCAGCTTGCCCTCTTTTTCATCTTCTCCCTGCCAGAAGTGCCCCCTACCTGAGCTTCTGCGCACCCAGCAGGGTCTCTGCAATGGAGCAGAGACCAATCTGGAGCTTTGGGTCCCCTGATAACATGTTTTTTTATTGAGCATTTGCTACATGCCAGGACCTCTAACAAAGTCTTACATGCACTACTTTTAATCTCCACAATTACACTATGAGTTTTATTTCCTCCATTTTAGATATAAAAAAAGAATCAAGGTTAAAAAAAAAACTGAAGTTACACATCTAACCAGAGTGGCCATCCAAACTCCTGAGTGACTGTAAAGCAGGGCTCTGAACCACTGCATTTTATACTGTTCTGTGCCAACACTCTCCAGTAAAATGGTTGCTGTTCTGGAAAACATTTTCCCTCTAGGAACCCAGGATTTGGGGAGAGAGAGGGAGGCCAGAGACCCGACGCTTCTCAGACAGCCTGGATCGAGGAACCCCTCTCGCACACTTGTGCAGGCACTGTGCGGGGCTCAGCCACCCCCACAGGAGCCCAGACAGAACCCATGGCCCTGCCGCCCCCCGAGAAGAGCCTGGCTGAGGACTGGGGAAACTGAGGGTGGGTCCTAGGCTATAGGTGATCTAGTCTCAGAGCAAGAAGGTGGTGACTTACTGCTACTGGTCACTCCATTTCCAGCTGAGAAAAGCAGAGTTTTAGGCCTGTGTCAGGCAGCATGGATAGAAGGGAAGACAAAGGAGAGAGCAGGTGGGGAGGCGTGGTAGGACCTAAGGAGACAGCCCAAGTGTGACAGACGGGGCTGCTGGAGGACCAGGAGTACGGCTGGCTAGGTGTTAAGCAAGAAATACGTGCATGTAGCCCGTTGCTGAAGAGCCAGCTCTGGAGTCAGACAGCCTGGGCCAAATCCCAGCTGTGCTGTTACCAGCTGGGTGACCTGTCAAGCCACTTCTCTGGTGGGACAAGAGCAGCACGTACATCTGTAACGTGGGACAAGAGCAGCACGTACATCACGGCGCTCCTGAAAGAAGAGTAACATGAAGGGCTTCATCCAGTGTCCAACGTGAGGTAAGAACTTAATAACAGTAATTATTAGTTATGAGAATACCTCTAAAAATACTAATTTCCTCCCACCCAATGAAAAAGACAAAAAAAAAAAAAGAGAGAGAGAGAGAAACACAGCATTTGCAGGTATTTTAGGTCCTGAGTCTGGACCAGCACTGGTGTTTTTGGTACTTGCTTCTCATGTATGATCTGGCTTGGCCAACCAGGTCATCAGTTCCCTAGGAGCTAGAACCACACACCATTTCAGCCTGATACGGCGCCAACCTCTAAGGCATGTGGCGTGGGACTGAGCACATACTAGGACTTCAGAGACTCCAGAACTTCAGGGCTAAGAGACGTGTGCTATCAGACACCTGATGTGCCAGGCTACCTCTGTGTGTGTGTGTGTGTGAACAAAAAGGATAATGCACAGCTGTTGCCCTTGAAGGAGTCACAGTTTAGCAAAGGAGGATCTGAAGTCCTGTGACAGTCTAATAATCCCATGCTCCCAACCCACACTCGCTCCAGCTGACATCTCTCCCCCCACAGCCACGTGTGCACATAGCTACGCTTTCCCTCACTCTGCTTTGGCTCCCTGGGCTCACAGCTCTAGCCCTGGCCTCTCTGGAAACGCTGGCTTTGGTCTGGACCCTGTGTGCGGCAGGTTTCAGCCTTAAAGGAATAAAAAGCTGCTCCATCTTATGCCAGCCCCATAGGCCTGCTTCTCTAGCCCCTGCTCATTTTTATCAGACCTTCCTGATGGCAGGTCTGTGAAATCTCCCCTGGAGGGGACTGTGTGTCCCTGGACTGACCTTGTGCTGATGTGTTTGATCAGCTGTTTCTGGCCTTTGCTGGGGGAACCAGTGCAAGAGCTGGCAGGAGCGGTGTTTGATCTGAGCAGCTGGGGAGCTCCAGGCCTGGCTAGCTGCTCTTGGCCTCCTGCTAATCTCTCCTTGGAGGACAAAGAAAGGAGGATGTTCTGATAGATCAGCCCACAGGTAACATGCCAAAGAGCCTTGCTGGTAGAGGTGAGATGTGGGGCTGGGTTCTTCCTGAGTAGCCACGAGGGGGAGAGGAGAGGGGAGCACTGCTTGGTCCTAGCTGAACAGCAGCATCTGCTACGCACCCTGGGGCGCACCTCCTGTTGCCAGGTATGCAGGGGAGATACAAGCGACTTCATGGACATGGCACCTACACTCTGGTAGCCCTGGGGGACAGGGCAGAAGATGAGACAGATGCAAGTGAAAAAGCCTAAAGAAGAAAATGAGCGTGGTTTCTATGCTCATGTCCTAGACCCTCTTCTGGGAGAAATCTGGAGTCCTGGGGCACTTCCCAAATGATGGGTGAAGACCCTTGGTCTAGGACAACTCCACACGGAACCATACACTTCTTTGTTCACCCACGTGCATCTCTGAGCTCAAGCTCATGGAAGGCAAGACAAAACAATATTTATGAAAACTCCGGGATCATGACATACTGTTTGCAGTTCCCGTGCTTGATGAATGTGTTCCCACCTGACATTCAGAGTCGGCCTTTACACAGACAAGATCCCTCAGCTGGGGTGCCAAGGGGCTCTGGCAGTCCTTGCTCCAACTCAGGGAGGTCCTGTGTCCCCTTAACACATTCACTCTGGTCTGGGATAGAGGTTCTGGGGTTACTACAGCACAGCCCAGAGAGGAAATCTTAACCTTGGTCTGGCACACCCCTACACTCCATTCCGGGCCCTCTACCTTAAGTATGTCAGGCATCTTCCTCCCTGTCCCCTACTTCTTGGCCCTCTTCCCCCAGGTACTTTAAAGTGCTAGAAACATTAACAGATATCAATTGGGAAGCACCTATGCTGTGAGAAGTTTTAAAAAGAAGTTTTAACTTACCTCCTCACAGGCACTGTCAGAGATCTGGCCCAAGGTCATAGGCCTAGTCAGAGGTGGAGTTGAGGAGCTCGGAGTCTGTGCCCTTTCCACTGGACTGCTTAGCTTCTGACAGCTGGACCCTCTGCCCAGGCCTGAGACAACTGGATCACCAGGGAAATCACCAGCCCATTTTCTACCTCTGCTCTATTTCTCCTGACCCACAGCAGCACGTCACCTCTGTGCACATTTACCCTCATGGCTGGGGCCACTGTGTGTTACAGGCACTCACAGCTTACTGAGACACCCAGGGTTAATGCTCCAAAGAGTAGTTCCAGCCCCCACCTCTCCAAAGACACAGCTTAGGCAGAGGGGCATTCCTTCACAGAGGCCCTGTGCGCTCTGGACAAGGTCAATTCGTGCTACTTGAGAACTGTCCCAGGAGAGGTCAGCACAGAGCCACCCCGACCGCGGCTTTCCTAGCACAGGGCTGACCTGAGTCTAGAGGGCTGCAGGGTTAGGAACGGATCCTCCCCTTGCCTTGCATGCTGGATTTTTACTGCAGAAATTACATACATCCTATCTGTGTGTCTGCCTCTTATTTCTTTGTTGGCTGTCAGCAACGTGTCATTTTCAGCCATTCACCACAAAAGGTTTCTGCTTATTTTACAGTTATCTGCTCAGCACTTTGTGCTTTAGGGGAAGTTGAGATTTAAGAGATAAATGAAAAGTAGTGGGTGTTATAAGGATCCCTAAAGACTCAAAGAGACAGGAAGAAAAGAGACACATAAGGGTGTCAAAATGAACAGTCTCCTCAGTGCTAGCAATTGCAGGGCATAGCTGACCTGTATGTGAAAGGTTTTATTGGTAACCATTTAAATTTTCAACACTAAATTCATTAAAGCCAGGCTGATAATTTGTACTATAATTCTGTCAGGTAAATACAATACCCCCCCATTTATAAATGAGAGCCAGGAACTCAGAGAGGGTAAGTATCTGACTCAAGGACACACAGTTAGAAAGTGGCAGAGCTGGGATGTACCCAAAGCCTGTCTCTGTGACACTGCACCATACTTGCCCCCTGGGAAAGAAGGGCTTGGAAATGAGACTGCACATGACAGGAGAGCTTCCCCCTGACCCATCCCAAGCCTGCAGGTACACAGTCGTCCCTAGGAAACCAGGCCTACCCAGCCTGTGCCCATCTGACAGCCAGCCAGAACCAAAGAGAAAACAGGTCTGTATCACACAATCCATTTGAAACTCATGCAGCATGTTTTTTCAAAGTACATACTTTATTTATACAGAATAGTGCAAGTTCGAAATGGATAATGGTTTGTCATCTGACTGATACAGCATCACATGCTGGTGGCTGTCCTGCCCACAGTGGCAGCTGGTAGGGCTGGCCTTAGAAGGACAAGGAACGATTTGGCGGCAGTCACTGATTAGCCTGGGGGATATTTTCTTTCTCAGCAATGTAATCCCCTGAGCACAGACAGCTTCTCCCTTCCCTGTAACCTGTTGTAGGTGTAGCAAGTTTCTGTGCTCTGGCTGTGCTTCCAAGCTTCTGGCCCAAGTCCTACCAGCCCCAAGATTTTCCATGGCATCAACACAATTCTCAACTTACTGTCAATACTCCCTTCAACCCCCATCTTCCTTTTATTCCATTTTCTCCCTACCTCCCAAGTGTCGCGGGGATACACTGGGCAAAGCAGACCAGTGCTGGGGTCTGAATCCTTCCACTGGGAGGACTGATTAAAGCATCCCAGCATTCTCTCCATCACTGTTCAACTTTCTAGCCTCAACTTAATAGAAACATTGCCTATTCCCTAGAACCATTCTCTGTAAGGTTGGCAATTTCCTCCATCCCTTAGTTCATAGATCCCAGGCACATGGGATTTAAAGGCACAGCCCTCCCATCGTATATGCCATCAGCCTGTGGCGACCGCAGCATCAGCTGCGGAGAGAAACTTTTAGGGCCCATCTCATCTTTCTGCTAAATTCTGGGAGGATACCTGGTTTAGACCATAAGACAGAACAGGGGCTTTGTCATTCCATTCCTCCAATCAGACTGGCTCTCATATCACCCCTCAGCCTCCTGGACTGTCAGAGTTCCTCCCTGGAGGAGGAGGCTGGTTGGTGTCCCATGGCTGGTGGGAGAGGAGCGTCAGAACACTTCCTCACAGAGGACTGGCATCACCAAGGAGCAGTATTTGAAAGGCAGACCTTGGTGCTCACTGGATTGTTTTCTAAACATAAAGCTTTTGAGACATGAGAGAGGCTTTACTGAATAAACGAGTGAACACCTTTGTCTCTGCCCCTTTGCTGCCCCCCGGTCCCAGGATCTGCTCACATACGTGGACAGCCCCATCTTCCTATGGTAATCTTTGCTCTCGAATCATCTACGTGCTGTCTTCTCACTTCCCTGGGATGGGAAAACCCTGCTCCTCAGGTGACCCCATTACTCCCACAGAATTGAACTCCTGCCTAGACTCTGTGTTTCCCTCCTCACCAGCTGTGTATGAGCTGTGGGGGCAGAGAAGACTTGGCGTCCCACTGAACAAATTCAAGTGTTCCAAGAAGCCCACAGACTCCACAGCACAGTGAATGCTCCAGAGGTCAGCCCGGAGGCCACCAGGACAGCACCCATGGCAGAGAGGCAAAGAGAACACCACGGCCAAAATGAGAGCGAGTGATGGAGATGGAGGAGACCGTGTAACATCCTCTGCGGCAGCAGTTCAGAAGGTCTCCTGGGCAGAAGGGGGAGAAGGAGTAAAATGGCCAGGGTACTAGCAATAAAATCCAGCTTGGGCATCTCTAGGGAGTGACACTGTAAAATTCACTGCCAATGCAGCATCTTGCAGAGAGGGCCACTTAAAGACTAAATTCAGGATAGACCTTTTCTCATTCTTGACCAGTACAAGGTTCATGCCTCGGGGCGAGTGTGTCAAAGGCTTAGAGCATTTATCACAGCAAGTCCAAATTCTCTGTTTGCTCTTTAAAAAGACTCTTTAAAAATTAGACTTTTTTTTTAGAGACTCTTTAAAAAGAAAAATCACCTTCTCCTACAGGCCCTCAGCAATTAATTTTTTATTTTGCTTTTTGGCTGGAAGAAGTTTTGATGACACTGCAATTTCCAACCACAGCCCATGGCTTGTGAGGGCTGGGACTCCCCCTTGTAAGCATGGGCCACTCCATTCTCTTCCAGTGGGTTTTATCTGGTGCCTAAGGGGAGATTCAGTGTCACTTCACCACTTGTAGACCAAGAGCTCTTGGGTCTGACAGCTCACAGCACTGAAAAACCTTAAGAAGCAGAGAGAGCCTTGGCAGCCAAGGGACGGTGCGCTTGGGTGTTCTTAAAGGTTTGAGCACCATCTTCTGGTCAGTTTTTGGCTTCTGAGGTCCACTTGCCTTTGAAAACTTCATTTACTTCAGAATGAGAAGATCCCTGAGCAGACAAGCTCAAGCAATTTGCATATTAAAATGCCGGCACCGAGTAGTGCCTGAGGGGAGCTGGCCCACAACAGAACTCCTACCTGCACAAAGCACACGGCCAGCCAGCAAGCATGGCCTTTCAGCAGTGTGACAGTAAGGGCCCCGACCGTGTCCATGAGCGACTCCCACCCTCCTTACCTGGTTATGTGAAATGAGCTCGGAGAGAAGGGGTGGGCTTGCCTGTAGCTTGAGGGCAGGTGACCAAACGGGCACCACCCTCCGTGTGGGCAAAGCCACACAGTGTGGCAGGGAGCCCTGCTTGCTGTGTAAACATGGCACCAGCAGACTTCAACTTTCTGGCATCCAGGAAAGGAAGATAAATTCTAGTCATTTCCCTCCAAAGGGCGGGAACCTACATCCATCTAATTGCACTTCATAATGGATTCCACAAACCATTAATTATCAGATTATATTTTAGGAACTGAAGATAAAAAAGCTTTAAGAAATTCAGGCTCTAAAGGATCACTAACCTGCAGGAACAGTGGCAGCTTGGCAGAGCTCAGACAAGAGGCCACTCGCAAGGCATGGAAGAACCTGGCGTGAGGAAGAGCCAGGGGCAACCGCGGCGCCGCCAGCCCCGCGCTGGTCCCCTGGCTGCATCACCTGCGCCAGAGGGAGGGGCAAGGCCTCCAGGTCATGGAGAAGTTTTAGGCTTTTGATGAGAGAGGTGATGAGGGTAACATGGAAAGGCTCAGGAACAAGCCTTCGGGTACAGACCACCATGGAGAATATCCCGGAAAGGTAGAGGCTGTTCTTTGGGGCTGGGCAGCCTCACACTGAACACTTCCAGCAGAAACCTTCCAATGGCGGCATTTTGGGCAGGTCTGACTACTGACATGGTGGGACTGGGCACGGAAATGAGGCCTCCTGTGTGACCACGCTGCCACCTGCCCTACTGCCACTGTGAAGGGGGCTGGGCGACCCAAGCGGTTGTGGCGATGATAGAGTGAGGAAGGGGCCAAGTGTGCTTGAGGCTGGGGGTCTCTGGATGGTCTGCTGGCACTTTCCTCAGGTTTTCCAGGGGCCAGAAGTCACCGGCAGCATCTGTAATCCCTATCTAACTGCCACTCTGCACCCTGCGGCTGCCAGCATGTCGTACTTCTCTGGCTGGCCGTCACCAGCCCCCAGCCCACTGCTCCTTCAGACTGTCAGGAGGTACACTGGACTTGGGGATGCACAGGGTCCCCGAAGCCACAGCAGCAGGCCCGTGGGGATGCAGGTCTGCCTCCTTGGAGGGCAATGGAGTTGGCATCACTGACTCAGACACTGTTGGTTCTATGAGAACAATGATGCTTCTCAGTGCAGCCGTTTGGGCTGTGCTAGGCTAAGATGCTAACCACTCAGGACAGTTGGGATGGAGGGGAGAGGCCAAGCTATGTTCTCTCGGCCCTCCACTGGACGAGGAGCCACTCACTTGGCCTCACCACAGATCAGGGTCACGGTGCCATCCAGCAAATCCTCCACAGTCACCGCCACGAGCTCCGAGCTGGTCTGAGATGTCTGAGAATCAGGCAATGTCACAAACACCTGTGACCCAGCAAGCTGGGTCTCCTCCAAAGTGATCACCTGCTCTGTTGGGGCCGCTGGCTCTGGGGTTTGGATCACCTGAAAGGGAAAGACCACGAGACTGCTCTGGGCAGTGTCCACAGTTGGCACCCCAGAATTTACATGGTTTTCATCTTGTGCTGGAATGATGATATTTATGTTTTCACCTGAGGAGAACAATTACATGTGCCTAATGGGAAGAGGCAAGTCTAACACACCAGTGATGCAAAAGAGAAGGCAGGCAAACAATTTAAATAACTCTGTGAGCTAAATTGCTATAATTTAGCTCAGTATGCCATCTCGGGGTGCCCGGACTCTATGATTACACAACAGTGAACACTGGCTCAGTTTCTCACACTGGGTTTTTCTGTCTTAAGATTACACTGCAGAGGTAAGTGCCATATGAAAGGAATGACACGGAAGGTAGTCGGTCTCATGCTTGAACCATGGAAACAGGAATGAGTTACCAGAAGCCTTGGTTTGCCAAAGGTGGCATCTCTGGACCTCAACCAGGCTAAAAGCCTTCCTTAGAGGCTACATGGCTACAGAGCTTGGAAGAATGGGTAGAGATAATGTGACTTCTATCACCTCATTCATTTGGTTCACCAGCCGGCAGGGCAGACACCTTTTGTCCTCCACAGGTCACACATACCCCTTCCAAATGTCCACCACCTGGTAAAGATGATCTTCCCAGCTCAGGGACAGCTAGTCTGTGGTTGTGAAGTACATCAGTTCCTGCCTCAACCTCCAAGCTGATGCTTCTGATCCATGGAGCTCAGGACGGCTTGAAGCGCCCTGATATTTTCAGACCTGAGCACCCACAGAGGGCACAGTGCCACCCTGGCTCTTGGGAACAGCCAGAAGTGGGGAGCAGGGCACTAGACCTGAGTGGGCAGAAGGAAGGAAGCCAAGCTCAGCCATGTCTCTGTGCTGTGGGGCTGAACAGAGCAATTGTGGTGTTCAATCTAAATCCATCTAGGATAGTTTTCAAAACTGCTTTTCTTTTAGCAATGGGATCCTCCCACTTCACCCCTCCCCTTTTTCTCCCAAAGGACAGCTTACCAAGAATATGTAAAAAAGATCAAAGCAGAGCTGCTCTAGTTGATATGGCAGCAGGAGAGTCACCTGGCGCGGGTGTGCCTGACCTGCCCTCAGCTCCCCACAGACGCCCCTAAGAGCATGTTTAGGAAGGCCTCGCCTACGGGACTGGACAGCAGGACAGCCCAGTCAGTTAAGAGTTCCTCTCCAGTCCCTGGACAAATTACTGCCAATAGACAGAACTAAGTTTCCTTTCCTTTCCTTTGTCCTCTTTATTGGAGAAGACAGAGGAGCAGTAAGAGGCCCAGGGAACTACAGAGGGGCTGGAGCAGCTCAGTCCCAAAACATCAGAAGAGGCAGGGCCCTCACCCGGGTGAGGGGAGGGTCAGCCCGAGGAGCTCTCAAAGTGCTTCAAGCGAAGGTCTCAACAGAGAGCTCAGCCACCCAAGAGCTCCCTGGGGCCCCCCGCAGTGTTTCGCAGAAGGCGGGGAAGTGTGTGAATGAGAAGGGGAAACCAAGGTTGGTCTGCTTTTGGAAATTCTTGTTTCAGGCTCCCTCTACCCAGGGACAATTTCAAGTGTGGTCCCCAGCAGACTAGAATTTTCTATTCTGTTTGGTAAGGGATCCAGAGAGACTCTTCTACCAGGTCCTCTTGGTCCTGAATGTATTACTTGTGGGACCATTTGAGAGCCCTAGAAAGATGGGTATTGTGACAGAACTGCCTCTAAAGGAGCCTTAGGAACCCCGAATTAGCACCCTGGCATCTGATGGCCCCAGAATCACCTGCGCCATCGGTGAGGCTGCTGCTGGGGCATCAGTGCCTGTCACCTTTGGGTGTTCAGATTCCAGGTGACCATCCAGCTGGGCCTGGGAGGTGAAGAGCTCACCACAGAGCTCACAGGGGAAGGTGTTCTCTGACTGCCTGAAGTGCTCCGTGCTGACGTGGTGCTGCAGGGCTCCGGGGAAGCGGAAGGTGGCCACGCAGTACAAGCACCTGAACGGCTGCGACCCTGCAGAAGGGGAGACAGAGGGGATGGGCTATGGTGGAATGACAGAGAAATCAGCAGAAAGAGGGGAGAGGAAGGAGCAGAGGCAGATCCAGGTTCTGTGAGAACTGAAGCTTATACGATTTGGGGAACCCTCTTTAGGAAAAACAATACAACATTCCAAATACAGGATTATTTGGAAGTTTTGGACGGGTCCTATGTAAGTGAGGAGCCCTAAAGCCACAGTTTCATTCTCATTAGTATTAGATTCAGGCTAAATGTGCCTCTGCTGGAGCCCATAATTCACTCAGGTGTAGACAGTGACGCTGATGATGCTGTATTTCATCAATTCCAAGAGGCACATTTTAACATCTCTGAAATGGGTTCATGGTATCTTAGGACTGCTCCGGACAAGGCAGCAGGTGGGTGCAGACTGCCAATGACTGCACATGTACGAACACCTGAAGGGGCAGCATCAAGACTTGCAGATTGTGTGTTCGTGGCTTGGAAGGAAATCCCCAAGACAAGAGTGGGGCACATTTTTAACTTACAGGAACCAACCGGTCTTGGGGAAAAGGTAAGAGGTGGATGTTCAGCTACATTCCCAAAGCACGAATGAGAAGTAGCCCAGTCTTATATAATCCTCAAGAGACCAAAACCAACGGCCTTACTGTGCTCCATCACCAAGGCTCCTGACGGCAGAGTGCACCGCCATGTGGAATGACACCAGGTCAACAGTCACAGCTGAAAGGACTCTGAGAAGCTGGATTCTCACCTTCATTTATTTCTGTTTTCCTTTTTATATTGCATACAAGAGTGAACATAATCTACATCAAATTAAGTCCAAAACAACCCTCAGAATAACCTGCAAGTTCTAAGTGATAAGAAAGTGTAGTTTAATTGGCAGTTTTTCTTTCTTAATGGTTTTTTAAAAACAGTGCAGCTCACAGCTAGCATTTTGAGTGATGAGACATAGCAGTAACAATGATTTCACAGGAAATGCTTCAGAGATGCTCACAGAAATGGTTCCAAGCTTTATGTATTTTCTATATACTAACATACTCATTTTCAGTTTTCCTAGGAGGTAGGCACTACAATTGTCACTGTTTTATAGATGGGGAAACTGAGGCACAAGTTAGTTTGCTTAGCCTGGTTGGCACAGCTATGAATGGTGGGGATAAGACTCACTCCAGATGGTCCAGCCCAGCAGCATTCTGGAAGGGCCACTGACCTGAATGCTGGCACTTGATGTGAACCTGCAGCAAAGCTGGTGTGGGGAAGAGCTCCTTACACTGGTCGCATTCATGGAACTTCATATCTGTGAAGGACAAGAAGAAGTGGTGGGAAAGAACAAAAGGATGGCTCTCTAAGGCTGGAGAGTAACAGGACGGGGGAGAGGAGGTGATGGCTAACTCCTAGCAAGCATCTACCTCATGCCTGTGGTGTATGAGTGCGATCTAGTGGCCCAGAGCACCAAGGCTGGATGCAGACCAGCTAGATGCAAACAGGGTTGTTGTGAGAGTGAAATGAGAAATCACACCCAGAGTGCCCTGCATGTAGCCTGCCCACAGGAAATGCTTCATGATTGCCAGCTGTCGTAATTATCTCCAAATTGACAGGCAATAGAAGTATTAATAACTTTCTGAAGACAAGGAAACAGGCTCAGAAACAGAAGTCACCTGTCAAGGTCATACAGCTGATCAGTGCTGGAGTCAGGGTTTCCACCCAAGCTTGTCTGCCCCCATAGCTGCCACCCTTGCCCACGTGCCCCAACTGATCATCACTCAGGCTGGTAGGAGCTCACAGCGCTCTGAGTCTCTGGGCTTGAGAACTACTGCCACTCAAGCTATGTTACTGATGGCCCATGGACTGGTGTGGCATCCCTTCAGGCACGCTGAGGCAGAAGGCAGGAATTACCATAGCACACCTGGCTAACACTGGAAGCCAGGAGATTTGGAACCCAGGATGCTATTCATCAGCAGGCCCTACTCTGTCTATGATGCCCAAACGTCACCTGCATGCTCTGCTTTGATGTGCTTCTTGTGTTCAATAGTGTTGGGAAAGGTTTTGTCACAGGAGCTGCACTGGAGCGATGCGAACTTGGAAGATCGATGGTTCTGAGCAGCAAATACATCAGGGTGGTGGGTCCGATTGTGGTACCACAAACCAGACAATTGCTGCAAGGAATTTGGCAAATGTTAGGTCTTAGAATGTTCCAGTAGCTGGAGAGTTCACAAAATCCTCATGAGAGAGAGAGGAAAACATTCTCAGTTAAGCTTATGGCTCTAGAATCACATGCTTACCTATCAAACTAAGTGTTGTCAACATGAGAGGCTGGTGTTTGTGGGAACAAGACATTTGTATATTTGCTGAGAGGCCACTACAGGACAGGGCTCAGTTGAGTCCTTCAGAAACTCTCAGTTGTCACAACAAGCCTATGAGGTACAAGCTAAGGCACAAAGGGGTTACATGACTTGTCCAAGGTCACACAGATTAGCAAACAGCAAGACCAGGATTCAAACCCTGGCCTTCCAATTGAAGCACCTGTTCTTCTCCACTGACCCATATCACACCTCTTCCCGGAGGCCCAGGGGGAGCAGCAGAGAAACGTGCTGGAGCAGGGGTGTGTGCTGTCCCTGCTCTATAAGCAACTGTCCCCATCCCTCCTGGGTTCCAGAGCAGCTTTGGGACACTCCCTAAAATTTCACGGTTTCCTAGAGATGGAGTCATAACACAAGACACGACCCCAAATTAACTCTCAGTATTTGTTGTGCTGAAATTAGCCATGGTGCTTCTCTCTATATACCCAAATCTGACAGATGCAAAAACCATTCTTTTCTCTGTGGCATTAGAGTTAAGTTTCTCATAGATGTGGTTTCTTTCTAGTTGCATATGGGGTTTCATCTTAATTACATACCAAATTCTAAGGTAAAGAAGCAGAGCCCTTCCCTGGGAGTTAAACACAAACAACAATTATGCTAAACAAGGTAATTTCAGGCAGAGTTACATACCCCACTGTCATGGTCATTTCCCTCGACACATGGGGTCAATAGGTTCTACAGAACGTGAGTATCCATGGGGAAAAGCAGTATTCAATTCATGACAAGGCTGAAATCTAAGACAAGTGGTATAAGGGTGCTTGGCTCCAATTAAAGCTCTCCTACCACATTACTCTGACCATGTCACCTTCAATAATCGGAATATTTACAGGCTGCATTCTTCACAAGAACCAGCTATCATCATATCCTGGAGACAAGATGTGCTCTGCATGCTATAAACATGGGAATCAAGGAAGATCAAAGGGAGAGCAGGCCAGGGGCTGGGGGCAGAGCTCCCACGGAATCTGAGCTCACCTGGTAGGCCTTGTTGCAGATCCCACAGCTGAAGGGCTTCCCTCCAACATGGGTCACCATGTGCCGCTCCAGCATGGAAGGGGCACTGAAGATCTTCCCGCACGTGGGGCAGGGGTGGTACTCCTTGGAGTGTACCTCGTGGATGTGCTTGCGGTGATCCTGCAGAGTGGGGAAGCTCATCCTGCATTTCTTGCAGTCATAGGGATCTTCTATGTCTGGTTCCATGAGAGGAAGGAGAGGGGAAATACCACAGGCAGCTATCAGTGAGATGTGGGTGGTTGTAACAGCTCCAGACGCAAGACTCTGTTTAGATGTAATGCAAGGTCGCAGACTCCGACAACCAGAAGTCAGTGTGGTGATCACCTGATTACTTCCTAGCTTCCTCTAGGGAGGGGGATTCCTCCCAGGCTTCTGGATGAACCACCTCTGCAGCACCAAGGATTTCACCTCGATTCCTTATGTGCTATCTTACAAGTGAAGTTCCATTTTGCTACTTACCAGGGAGCAATGCCCTTGCCCCTCCCCTGCTTGCAGTGGGCATTTGTGAGTTTTCCAAATTCTCTATAGAGATTCCTACATACACCCCAGAGCATCACTATTTCCTTTGTTGTCAGTAGTATGACTGACAGGAAGAATGCTTCCTTGCTCCCACTTTAGATTCAAAAATAACATTTTCATAGGTGGCATTCAGTGAGTGCTAGATGACAGGCAGGTTTTAAGTGCCTTACATATATGAACTCACTTTATCCTTCCTGTAACCCTGTAGTAGGTTCCATTATCAGTCCCTATTTTAGAAATTAGGAAAAGCAAGGCTGAGAGTGCCCAGTGACACAGTAGGAAATGGCTGGACTGGGTAACAATCCCAGTGTTCACTGCCAAGTATGCTCTGAGCTACATACTTAATTGGACACACCAACTCTTCAGTGAGACCTCAAAAGTAAGACCTGCCACGGATAAAGAATACATTGCTGTCCCCATGGCAGGAAACTTCAGCCTTTTTCTGAAAGCAACAGAAAGCAAATGTTTTAATAGTAAAATCCTTTGCCCAGAAGAAGGCCAGCACACAGGCCAATCTTAGGTGTGCACTGATCCAGACTAACTCAGAACTCCACCGTGCAGCAGCACTCAGTACCACTGACGACTTTCCCGTGGGCACGAGCTCTGGCAATCTCAGTTTACAAGGAACAGTCTCTGAGAGCGGGGCCTGGATGCTGGGCCTGCCACCAATGATATGCTCTAAGGCACGGCAGGTCTTCTGGGTCCTCTCCATTCTGAAAATTGAGTCTTCCCCTTCCCTGACCCCCCTGTAAACTGGGAGAAGGAAACTGAAGCAGAATGTCATTTAAAAGGTCCAGAGGATGTCAAAATTATGGCACTGGATTCAAGCCAATCTCATTCATCTGGAAGTCTATTGCAACTGGATTTTTTGGACTTATAAACTCCTTGGGGGGAAGGGGCAGCATTTGCTCTTCTTCCAACAATGCCCAGGGTCCAGCCACATGCTGAACACACACAGAAGCTCTAGCAAAGTCCTTTGCTGGCTGGCTGGTGACAGACTTGAATATGCTGATATAAAGCATGTTTGTGAGTCACTGTATTTGCTAGCTAGAAACTGATGTGTGGGAAACAGGGCTGGGGAGGGGAGAAGGGTATGCAAGGTCCACAGCATTCAAAAGAGGCTTTGATGGTGAGGAATGGGATCTGAGAGGGTTGCTCTTGTCACCAATAATAGTATCTGGCATTTACTGAGCGTTTTCTAGGTGTCAGGCAGGGAGCTTCGTGCTTTACACCTGATAGCTTACTAGTTCTCACTGTAACCCGAGGTGGTAGCATACTTATTTTCCCTAGTTTACAGAAGAGGCATTAGAGACATAGAGAAGTAGGATATTTGTTTAAGGTCTCAAGGAAGTAAAGGGCAGGGTCACGATGTGTGAATTCAGTGCCCAGCTCTCCCCCCACCGTGCTGTACTGATTACATTCCTACTGCAACAAGAGCAGCTGAAGATGGGATGTGCCGGCCAGATGCCACACTGGCGACTTCCTGATGATGTAATGGGGAGTCACAGAATTACCTTTCCCTTCCTGTGTGTGCTGACTAGAACTGTGTTTTTGTCTGTATCAGTTCTAGCAGAAGGGGAGAAAGATGGGGGAAGACCCTACAAACTAAGTGAATGTGACGGCATTTGGGGGAGAATGCTGGGCGGGCTTTGAAAGGAGTGTGCCTAGGGACCACTCACAATGGTAGACATTTGCTCAGAGGCCTCGGGGAAGGCAGGTTTGATTATAAGATGAGAGTAGGGGAAAGACAGTGGGGGCAGCAAACAGAAGCTCAGTGGACTAATGGGAGTATTCTGCGCTTTGTGAGTCTGTCTGTTACAGAGGCTCTCTCCTTCAAGCCTAATTTGCCTGTCAGCCAAATACCACCAGGTGAGCTAAAGAGGAAGGAAGACAAGGAAACAGCCTGAACAGAGAAATGGGCATCACACAATGACATGTTAAAATGGGATTTTTCTTGAAATAGGAATGAGCTATGTGGGTTTTGCAGGATAGGGGAGGTGAAGGCACCAAATGGGCCCAGGTCTGGCAGAGTGACAACTTCTGTTATGATTGTTACATGCATTCTCAGGGCCAGGCCTAGCACCAAGCGCCTTGTCCACAACCTCAGTACATACTGTGAAACGTGTGCAGGTGGATGGAGAGGCCATTGGCTTGCCGGAAGCCTTTGCCACAGTCCCTGCAGACATATGGCTTGTCTCCAGTGTGAGTCCTCACGTGGCGGGAGAGCTCAATGGACTGGGCAAACACGGCATCGCAGTACTGGCATGCATACATTTTCCCTGGAAATATACATGCTTTTGTTAAGAGACAGCACTAAATATTTTTGGCATTCCTAAAAATGTCACATTCTAAAGCACGTATCAGGGAAATATAATCTGGGAGATGATATTAAAACAAGGTAATTTGTAATATACTGAGGGAGAGGTCTGAGCCACTCTATCAGATGGCATCTCACAAACAGCCCATCACACAGAGAGGGTGTCATGTGGTCTCCCTATCCTGAGGAATAAGGATGGAGTTCTCATCATACAAGACTACCCATCTGTTAACCAGGCCACCATGAGGATGGAAGAGTTCATTCCACTCCCGGGAAACAGATACAATCTTGTGCCTGGAAATACCCTAGTCCACATCCCTTACAACTTCACAGTGTAGAACTGCAAGTGCAACATAAAGGTGACAGACGTGGATTCAGAGAAAAATGAAAGCCTTCTTTCAGTGACTTGCTATAAATTACTATAAATAACTTGGCCTCTATTTTCTCATGCACATCATAAGAATATAATGACCAGAATAAAATGAAAGAAATCAGAAAATACAGGTAAAGAGCAAGTCTGGAAAATTGGCATTTGTAAAACATAGTAGACCAACTGTACCTCCAAGCTCCCTTATGGGTCAACAGGGAAGGGAGGAAATCAGTGAGGTAAGGGTCTCAGACCCCTCATATCCCAGGGCCTAATTCAACTAAAGAAATCAACTTCACTTTCATTTTCTACATAGTGGGATTTGAATAAGATCTTGTTAGAAAAAAAGGGTTTCTTGAATCAAGAGTTGAAGTTACTGAGGAGTCCTTGACCACCTTCTTCACCCTCACTCTCCAGGTGATCTCATCTTAGAGCCTTATATACTATCTATACACTGACAGCTTCATTCATAAATCTAGCTCCCAGCTTTCCCCAGACCTTCACTTATAGAGTCATATGCCTGGTACTCTACTTCTCTGCTTGGGGCTCCAATTTATCATATCTAAAACAGAGCTCCTAATTCTCTATCCTACCATGCCCACCACCCACCCACCTACCCATCCATATACACACATGGAAGCCCAAAGCTCTGCCATTTCAGTAAATGGCAGCACCATTTACTCAGCTGCTTATGCCCCAAAACCCAGAGCCATCCTTAATTCTTCCTTCTGTCACATCCCACATGCAATCTATCATTAGTCCTGTAATGTCCACTTTCAACAATACATTCCCAAACTTGAACATTTTTTACAACTGCCCTTAACACAACTCTGGTTGAAAACCCCACCATTTCCACATAGGACTACTGCAGTGCCTCTCCGTTTATATTGCACTATTGACCTTTTACAGTTTTTTCCCCCCATATCTGAGGGGGATAGGGAATCTGTAATCTGATAATTATTTGATGTTCTTGGGTTTCTAATCCTGCAGTTTGTTATACCTGCTGACTCTCCCTCCTGGAGAATTGTTCCTCAAGTGTTGTCATTTTGTATTGTGAACTCATCTTCTACAGGGTTTTTTAAAATTTTGGTATCATTAATGTACAATTACATGAGCAACATTATGGTTACTAGACAACCCCCATTATCAAGTCCCCACCACATACCCCATTACAGTCACTGTCCATCAGTGTAGTAAGATGGTACAGAATCACTACTTGTCTTCTTTGTGTTCTACTGCCTTCACTGTGCCCCCCCTTCATTATGTGTGCTAATTGTAATGTCCCCTTCTTCCCTTTATCCCTCCCTTCCCACCCATCCTCCCCAGTCCCTTTCCCTTTGGTAACTG